GTGTGTGTGTGTGTGTGTATATATTTATATGTGTAAATGTGTATGTGTGTGTGTGTGTGTGTATATATTTATGTGTGTATGTGTGTGTGTGAGAGTGAGTGTTTGTGTGTGTATATGTGCAGTGTTGAGCTAGTTCACATTCAGTTCTTTTTTATTGGGATGATGTAGATGACAAACTTGGATCGTGTGTTTAGTTATTAATCGGATCATGAACCCAGATCCTTGTTCTTCAACAGTCACTGACCTGCTTCCTGTTAACAAGCTCTGATCTCACAGCGCATGAGTGAGTGGGGGCGGAGCCCTGGGGCCCATGTGTATGTATGAGTGTGTGTTTGTGTGTCTCGTTAAACAAACTGTTCAAACAGTTTGATTCATGAAAGTTTTCTCTTTTTTCATCTCCATGGTGACATGACCCTCTCACCTCATGACCACAAACTATGGTTCTGCCACAGTTCTTCTAAGGTTCTGTCTCAGTTCTTCTAAGGTTCTGTCTCAGTTCTTCTAAGGTTCTGTCTCAGTTCTTCTATGGTTCTGTTTCAGTTTTTCAAAGGTTCTGTCTCACCAGCAAAACTGAACACAGTTTCAGTTTCTGTGGAGTCTTTAGTTTGTTCTACCCAGTGTTGTGTCTGCAGGCAGGTGATGCTGTTGGTTCTAAGACACTAGTTTCAGGGCAGAGACCATGTTCTGTCAGAACCAATCCAATAGAGAAGAAATAGTGTTTAAATACCTTCACCCCAGGGCTTGTCTCCTCAGGCTTGGTTTAATTTCTGCCTGTCACTCTCAACTCGGGAACATTAAACTTCCTTTGTGTAGAGAAAAGTTTCAACCTTTTCCTCCTAGCGTCATGGAAACCAAAAATGGGAGCAGTGCAACCCGCAGGCCAGAGGCTGCACTGCAGCAAACCCAGAAACATATTTCATCATTTGATTTCTGCTGTAACAAAACTTAAATAATCAATACTTATTGATTGAATGTATTAACTATATGTGTTGACACTGTTTGAACTGTTTTAATGCTTAAAAATATTTCAGTTGTTCAGTTAAAAACTGCTTTACATTTGTCCTGAGGGGGCGCTGTCTGATCAGCTGACGGCTTCTTCCTGTTCTCTCAGGTGAACATCGTACGAGGAACAGATGGATTTGGATTCACAATCTGCTCTGACTGTCCAGTAAGAGTCCAGGCTGTCGATCCTGGTGAGAACCACACACATGAGCAGAGTCATGTCATCTACAGCTTCTCTGATTGGCTGTCTGCAGTGTTCGGTTCAAAGTAGCGTCGGATTTTGTTGATTGTCTGTTTCTCTGCAGGGGGTCCAGCTCATCAGTCTGGACTTCGTCAGGGAGACTTGGTCCTGCAGCTGAACGGACTTCCTGTAGAAACCTGGAAGTGTGTGGAACTCGCCCACACCATCAGGTAACCCTGTCCCTTCACAGCCTGACCCTGCACATGCTGACACCAACATTTATTATGTGACTTTTGGACTGATCAGGCCACCGACATCAGACGACATCACTCAGTCAGCTCTACCTGTCTTTCTGTCTCTATACCTGTCTATCTCTTCAGGACTTGTCCATCTCAGATTGTTTTAGTGGTATGGAGAGGTTTACCGGACCTCATGGCAGGAAGTGAAGCTTTACTCCGCCCGCGGACACACAACACAGTGAGTCTACATTAAATACACACACACATAGCAGGTGTAAGAGTAAAGAGAGTAAAACGGTCGTCATGGTCAGCTAATATTTGTCTGTCTCCTAGACGACAGGCAGGAAACTGTTGCCTCACCCTGCCCACAGTAAACATGGTCGCAGACAGAGTCAGAGCTCTATGGTCCGCGCCAGTCTGGCGGCTCTGGGTTCTCTGTGGAGGGACAGGAAGCACGAGAACGAGGAGGAAGAACAGGAAGTGACTGAGTACTCCTGCAGCAACACTACACTAAAGGGCACCCGTGTGACATCATCAAACGGAGACAATTACATCATCCTGTCACCTGTCAGTCCAGGAGCACAGGTGAGTCTGAGCCAGGACGTAGAACATAGAACCTTTCACTAGAATTAGAGCATTAACTCTGTTTCCATTAGAACTTTACAAGGAACCTTTCACCTGAACAAGAATGTTACTGACATCATTAAAATTCAACTTGACTGAGAGAACCACACAATATTATAATGGTAGTATCTGTCACTGAAACATAAATGACTGATCTCTGGCCTCACCTAGAACCTCGTCTAACCCAGAGGACACTATGTATCTATATCAAAACTGAGAACTTGGTCAGACACAGAACCGGACCAGATAAGTTCTTCTCTTACTGAGAACATCCCCATTGAAACAGGAAAATAATGTCATTGAAAAGATCCATTCCCATGTTCTGTCTCTGTTTCAGCACCTGCATCCAGTTTGTCATGACAGGAATGCGACCATCAGTATGTTCTTCAATCTGAATTTTGATTATCTTGAACAATGATTAGTATACTATAAATTATATTATACATTTATATATTTGTGTCATTGATCACCAGGTCCTCTGTACCGGACTCACCCCAGAAGAGGTCAGAACCTTCTCCACGACCCTCGACCTGAGTCATCACAGCAACCGTTTACCAGCCGCACTGCCACCCTACCCCCGCCCCTCTCCTCCTCTTCTTCAGCCACGCTAAGAAACTATGGCAACTACCAGAACTGCACCATCGTCCAATCACATCTGCCGTGCTCTGCTTATGAAAGCTACATGACACTGGCACCAAAAACTCTCATCTTCCCCATCTTTGTCCAGGTTAGAACCTTTTACCTTTAACTTAAGTCAGAACCAGGCCCTTCTACATTGGAACCTTGAATCTCACACTGAACCAATCTAAAGTGAACTTGACCTCCAAGTAAAATCTGGAATTGTCTTTCCCACATAAACTACACAGCAGCAGGTTTTCTGCACAGACTTGTTCACAGCGGCTTCAAAACCTCCTCATTATTCAGGTGAGAGGTGGAACAGCTGGGTGCGGCAGACAGACAGGAAGTGACGTATTAACTCTGTCACGTGTTAGCAGCGTTAGCAAAAAAATCTCCTGCTGTGTTCACACATGGGATTGTTCTGACTTTCTGTGGACTTTATATCAGGAATCCGAGCACAAAAGTTCTGCAGTTAATCTGGAGGCTCTCAATCAGACATTTGAGTTCAATGCTTGTTTGAAAGCAGCTTAAGACATTTAAAGTGAGCTTCAAACATCATTCAAGTCAGAATTTAAGTCAGGACCCTAATGGAGAACATATCCTAAAACATCTTAGTCATCTTGGCAAGAAAAGGTATACAGAACTTAACATGGAGCCTAATAACTAAATATTAGAAATAAAGACCCTAATTGAACCTTAAATTAAATTCAAAAATTCAAAAACTGCTTTGTGTTTGTGTCTTGTAGATCAGAAATTAGAGATAGTTCAAGAATATTTGATCAAGAGCATACACTGTAACCTCCAGAAAACACAGAATGAAGTCAAGATCACTTACTATCCAAACTGGAATAATAACTACAATGTCCTAAAACAGAAGCAAAAGTTGAATCAAAGCTTTAACCTTCCTTCTTATCTTTATTTTTATAGAGCCTTTGAGTCATAAACTAAATCAGAGGCTGAAGAAATAATTTATAAATGCTTCATTTAGACTCCTAGCCTCAACACCATTATCCTGACCTCAAATATTTAACCTAATGTAGAAGTATTACAATCAAACTTTTCCAGTTTCATGTTCTAGCTGTAACTTATGTTTTCACTAACGATTTCTTGTTGATTGATGTTCTAAGTGTAATTGTTGTTTACATGTTCTGCTCTTGTTCTTTTGGACTTTAGCCTCTGGATCTGTGCAGCCCTGACAGAACCTTACTGATGTCAGAGGAAATTATTCTACACCAGGCTGAGCTGCTGCCTGCAAAGGTAACAGCTAACAGGACAGCTAATGGTACAGCTAATGTTACAGCTAATGTTACAGCTAATGTTACAGCTAACGGGACAACTAACGTTACAGCTAACAGGACAGCTAACAGGACAGGTAACGGTAAAGCTATGGTACTTAAGGTCACAGGACTCAAGAGGCAGCATTTGTGTCACTACACTGTGTGCGTGTGTGTGTGTTTCAGGTGACAGTGTTGATCTACAGCGACCTGCTGCTGTTCACCAGAGAGGACGAGGTTGGCCGCTGTAACGTCCTCCAGAGTCCAGTGTTCCTAAACACACTGCAGCTCAGAGAGGGTACGAATGTTGTGTAATTGTGGTGTTGTGTTTTTAAGGTGTTGTTGTGTTTTTAAGGTGTTATTGTGTTGTTGTTGTGTTGTAGTGTCACCAGAGCCCCTCCTCATCCACCTGGTGCAGTCGTCTCAGACGTGTTTTCGTTGCGCCTTCATACTCGAGTGTTTCAGCGTTGAGCAAAAGATCAGAATTAGTCTCTGTTTCCATGACAACATTCATCACCAGCTGGTCGCCACGGAAATGGCGCCCAATCACCAGGTACAGAAATTAAGCGACTTTTCACCCGTGACCTACGATCTCTTATTTTGAAGGTCTTGATCTCCTATGTAAAGAGTCTTGAGATAATCAATATTGGGATTTGGTGCTATACAAATAAAATTGAATTGACCTCTGTGTCCCCTCCCATCCTCCCCCTCAGCTCTCCCACCTCCCCTCAGATTTCAGTCTTCTGTCTCTCCGTCAGTCAGATCTCCTCTATCGTTCATCCTCTCCTTTCTCCTCAACGGATCCTCCCCTGCTCCCCCCCTCTTTCCCCTCCTCTCCCCTCTGTGACACCCCCCCCTTCCACTCTCCTTCCTCCCCCAGCTCCTCCTCCACTCCTCCTCCCCCATTGACCTCCTCATCTCTCTCCAAGACGATCAACGCCCTGCCTCACCCCCCCCCACCTTCCTCCCCCTCCTCCTCCACCCAGAGTCCAGTGTGGAAGGCACTAGGGAGAACAGAAGAGGATGAGAGATGGAAGAGGAGGGGGAATGAGGAGGAAGATGAAGAGGTTGAAGAGCGGCAGCAGGGGGAGGGGGAGAGTGCCTCTGAAACATCAGAAAGTGTGGGAGGGGGGGGCCTCCTGCTGAGCCCCACACACTATTACACAAAGGAGGAGGAGCAAGATGAGAGGGACAAAGAGGTAGAGCAGTTCAGCTCCACCCACAGAGCTGCAGGTAAGTCAGCTGACGAGTCAAAGTGACATCATCAGTGATGGTCACCAGTGATGTCACATGCTGTTGAGTCATGTGTGTGCTGTCTGATTGATTATTTATTGCTCAGTTCTGCGCCGCTCGCTCTCGGAGGGTTCCCTGCTGCGGGAACCTCGATCACCTTGCTTCCTATCTGAAAGCGCCATCCACCTACTCACCTGCTCTATGACCTCTGACCCCGATCCCCTCCCCACCTCCCCCTACTCTCTGAGGAAACAGCTGACCAGTGAGGGGGGGTCTCTGCACCAAATTCTACAGCTGCTCAACAGCACCAAGGTAGAGGGTCAATCAGTCAGTCGAGTCCAAGACCAGAACAGATCAGACCAGAACTAGACTGAGTCTGATAGAACCTGTTCTGACTGTCTGTTGTTTTGTTTGTTCAGGACTCTGAGTTCAGGAACCTTCACCTGTCGAAGAAGACCAAGAATCTGTACGTAAAAACACACACTTTGTTTTTGTTTACACTTCCTGTTTGTCTCACTTGTTGACTGGTCTCTTCAGAGATCCTGATGTTCGCCGTTGTCTGTCATTTCTACGGCGTCCGGAAAACTGTACCCGTTTCTATGGAAACAGTTTGGAGAAAGCTCTGAGAAACAACAGGTAGGAACACACACATTGCAGGTTAGTTGTTCAGCATAAGTTACCATGGTGATTTACCCCGATAACAAGTGAAGGAGCTTCATAGGGCCGGGAACCCAGAATCTACCCAGAAGTCACCCTGATCCACACAAATCCGTCCAGATAGATTCTAGTGGTTCTATTTGGTTCCAGGTGGTTCTATCTGTGTTTTCAGCTGGCTTCATGTGAGTCCATTAGATTTTACTGTTTCAGTATCTCTAAGGTGCAATTTTTCTTCAGACCATCTCCAGGGGAGGTGCTGAGGTGGGCGGAGAGTCTGGAGGCTCTGCTGACCAATCAGTGTAAGGCATTCTAATTTCTGCTTGTCAGTGAGAGGAGGAACCTGAACAATGACAGTGCTCCTTTTCATTGGTTAGATGGTCTGGCAGTGTTCCGTCACTTCTTAAGGTCAGAGTTCAGCGAGGAGAATCTGGATTTCTGGTTGGCTGTAGAGAGATTCAAAAGGATACGCCCCCTCAGCAGGATGGCTCTCAGAGCTACGAAAATCTATGAGGAGTTTATTTCTACCACTGCAGCAAGACAGGTACCCGTCTGTCTGACTGTCTGTCTATCTGTCTATCTGTCTGTCCTGTGATTGGACCTGTAATTTACCCTCCCTCTGTTTCCAGGTTAACTTGGACTCAACTGTCAGAGAATCGACCAATCAAAGCCTACTTCTCGGAGTTAACCCCGCCTCCTTCCAGTTGGCCCAGGATCAGATTTTCAGCCTGATGGAGACTGACAGCTACCCACGATTCCTTCAGTCCCACCTTTATGCCCCTTTGGCCAATCAGAGCGGAGCTGGGTCTGTCAATCAATCATGAAAGAAAAAGGAGGCGGACCAAAGTGAAGGGGAAACTGATCTCATTGGAAGTTGAGATCTGATCAGAGATCAGAGTTTTGTCATCTGTTCAGAGAAAAACCAATGAAAGACCTCATCTATCCAGGTGCATGATGGTAACTTTAGGCTACGTTGTTTTTGCTCTGACTTATGGTTCTGTTTTTTTTAGTTGTAAATATAACATTCACGTTCCCAGCTGATAAATCCTATGGATGTGTCCTGTAGCGCCACCATCAGGTCACCTTTTAAGTTGTGCTGTACTACATGATGAGATAGCTGCAGAGCTAATGGCATTCCCATAAGCCTCAGCTGTGCAGTGTTAACTGCTAATGAGCTAAAGTTAGCAGTAAAGGACTATATACTATATATACTGAGCTCATCACTATATAATGTCTTCTATGTAGAGGACTATATACTATATATATACTGAGCTCATCAGTAAAAGAAAAAACATTTTCAGACACGACTCAGATCATTTTCTCTGCATCGGTTCATTGTCACAGGATCATGACAAACAACAACAACAACAACAACAACGGTCCGTGTGAAATCCCACAGTGAATTTTAAATGTTTATTTTACTCTTAGTATTAAAACTTTTAGTTAAAAACACGTTGAATGTTTATTTTTAAACATGTTTGATTTTGTCTCACTTTGTGATGCTCTGTTCATATTTATATGACAGCTCGTTATGTTCCTGATGACCACTCTCCACTGCAATGCATGATGGGATATGTTACTCTGTGATTGACCATCAGTTGTACATCATGCATTGTGGGAAAGAGTGCACTATATAGGGTATTAAAACTTCACTTAACATTCGGACAGAACTACAAAATAGCAGATTCACTATTTAGAGATTACAGTATTACATGTTACACAAAGTAACATCATGATTGCGATGGTGGATCGTAATCATGGACAATGATCACAACAAGACTGCTTGATACACAATATGTCTCCCCAGATACTTGACCACTACTGAAAATAACTCCTTAATTAATTTACCTTCCATCATGTTTACTCTATTCTACTCTTATTTTTTCTTATGTTCTCCATTACATGTGGCATCTATTGCACTTCTTTCCATTCTGGGAGACGGATCCTCACGTGTGTCTCTCTGAGGTTTCTACGTTCTTTTTCCCTGTCAAAAGAAATGTTTTGGGTAGTTTACTCTTGTTGAGTTAAGAATAGAGGATGTCACACCTTGTTAAGATCTATGAGACAAACTGTGATTTGTGAATATGGGCTGTACAAATAAAATTTGATTATTGTTTTTTTAATAGAAACAATAAATGCAATGTGTGACTTTGTCTGGTTTGTTTGGTTTATATTTAGCAGATGTTTGTGTGTGTAGATGTGTTTGTTTGTGTGT